AATAAAGAGTGTACCTATTACATCAGTCCAAATATTTTTGGTCAGGCTACAATTTAATCAACGCCATATTATAATTAACGTTATAAACAACTTGACGCTTAAGAAATACAATAATTACTTACATTTATCAGAAAGGAAGAGTTGTGCAATTTCCTGACTCCTGTTACAATTCAAACGCAGCTTCGTCATTTTATAAATAGCTTATTAAACTATAAGTGTATATTGCCAATAAAGCTATTAAAGATGTTTACCAATAAGCATCGATATCGTATTACACATATGATATCAATATTGTAATCGTGAAGACAAGGAGAACCTCTTTTCCAAATGTCATTCAATATCATATAAAAGTAGTATTTTAAAAACTTGATTGCCGTTCAATAAAAATAACTATAAATATATAACTTCAATACATTATTATTTTATTGTTAAAATAAAACAGAAAGCAAATACATTGCAATACATGTTATATTAATATATTAAAGTTGAGACAAATTATTAGTTTGAAAAAGATCACAGAGAATTATTATAATATTAAATTTTTATTATTAATATTAATATATGGGTAAGACAAAATATTTTTTTGTATACGTATATTGTTTACAAATCGCACTAAAGCCTTATAATAATATCAAAATGGACTGTAAAAAATGTTTTAAAAAAAGGACAGAAAATAGAGACGTAAGCAATATAAAGTGGAGAATTTTTTACTTTTCACGGTTATAAAAGCCAATGGCTTAAAAAAACAAACTAAACAAATATTTGATCTTATTTTTTTAAATTCCTTGAACGCGTTCCTTTTTAGTAATTCTCCAGTTCTTAATCGCCAAAAACGAATTAAATTTAGCCATGATAGCTAAATCAATAATAAAGTTATCCTTTATCTAAAAAAAACAACTACTATTAATAAATAAAGTCATATTTAAATATTGTTAATAAAAGTCATAATAAATTGGGTATAATTTTTTAGTGTACCCACGTGGGCTCATAAATAAAACATGAATGGAAATCCTATAAGACCACTTATTAATTATTAGCTAGAAAATACAATTTAATCTCAAGGTGGTTTTTGGGAATATAGGATAAGAGTTGTTTTATTAATTATACTGTTGAATTGAGTTCTTAAATGTTGTAAGAAAAATAATAATTTACCGTGAGAAAAATTATATAACTACTTAATTATAATTTATTATTATTTTAAAAGTTTGTTTTATTCTTCAAGTTTTAAAACAGCTACTAATCTCTTAACAGTTAAAATAAAACCTTCTGAGAATAGTTTTTGCTGAACTGTTAAATTTTAACCACCTTAATATGATTAACTAACTTAGTTTTTGTATACCTAGGATATAACCGAGTACCTTAAGTTAAATTAATTATTAAATGGTACTAATCGCTTAAAATTCACAAAAAATATAATCAAATTTAAAACCTCTTTTGAAAGAAAATAGTTTATTTATTTTACTAATTGATTATATTTTATACAACATCTTGATAACAGAACGTGAACTACTAAAATTACCTTCTTCAAAATTATTTATGAAAGCCGCAAGTATTACTAAAGTATTTATTTAAAATATTTGAAGCGCATAGCGCTAAAAAAACTTAACCCACAACAAATTAAATTTTGTTTTATCACATTATTAAACATTTTAGAAAGATATAATATTTGAAAACCAAACCCTAAAAAAAATGTATCCACTAAATGATAGAATTTGCTTTTTCTTGAAACAATATATTTTTGCGATAAGATTTTCTGAGGCCATGTGCCTCATTTATGGAATAAATAACAATAGCTTCAACTTAAATTCATTGTTACTAATTGATTGTAAACGGGATTGGAAACAATTCTTTTTTAAGCAAAATGCATCATTATTCTATCCATGGCACCGATCTAGTCAACAAAAAATACATCGGATAACATTGCGAAATGTTTAGCTATAAAATTAAATAAATTACTTTGGACACTAAATATAAATTAAAATAATTCTAAGGTAAGAGATTGGTTGTCAAAAATTTAATAGATATATTTAATTCAAAAATAACTACGTTGTTAAATAAATATTGAAATTACTGTAGTACAGTATCTATTATATTTTCGTAACAGTTCTATATGATCAACATTTAAGTAAAGCTTGTACTTCGTAAGTGCCAAAAAATGTTTAATGTATTTTTGAAATATTATTTTGTACGAACACACGTTAAAATTATTAATGATTTTTTAGCTCTTAAAAACATGATTTTATTTCTTTAGCATTTGTTTTTTCAACTAATTTTATAACGATTTTGAATTGAATTATTATTTTACAATATATTAAAATTTAGTATACTTACATATTTGCATGTGTGTGTATTATAAATATAAAATAAATAAGAAAATATGCAGTCATGACTGTGTATACTTAACCATAAAAAATGATGGTGTATGCTTAGCTGATAAATGGTTTTTTTTAATACAAATAGGTATTGTCTGTGAGTGCTGAACGTTTCTTAGGTGAATGGCGTTTCATTGACAAGAAGAAGGTCCGCCGGAAATTACATTACATCATAAAACAGCGACCAATATTTGTACTGGTAAATCCGCCCACAACGGTCACCGACAAAACAGTTAATGCCTATTGGACATGTAAGTCATGATACATTATCACTACTGCTACGGCAAGCATAAACGAACCAGGCTTTCATGCAAAACACATTATTCCAATCGATATTGAACCGCAAGAAGTACTTAACATAAACTTAAAAAATACATTCAAGGCCACGTGCGAGTATTGCTAACAAAAATAAATTAGCGTTACATAATAATAATCAATGATGATATTCTGGTATTTTATTAATAAGTCAGGAATGATTTTGTGCGCCTGTTCGGCAAAACGATTAACGTAAACCGCGTTAAAAGCATTCTCGGTTGACCTTTAAGGAACCGCTTAAACACCTGACGGTAAAACACCAAACCGTGCTATGATGTATTTAAAGTTTAAACCAATGCCGTCGCTATGATGGGTAGTTTGTGTGTGTTAACCCTCGGTAAACATTTGGCCGCAACAAAGAACAACAATAGGGTACGGAGTAGCCGTAAAATATTTTCCGAGCCCAATGCGTTAATCAAACACCTTTCTGACATTTACATACTTAAAAAAACAATAAAGACGTGTATTAAATAATATTATGTGCACAGGCCATCGTGTCTGTACACCGTATATACCTACTATACGCATAAATGTAGGTGTAAGGCTGTAAGATTTGTGTGGTAAAAAAAGAGAAAAGAAAAAGTATTAGACTTTCTGAGTATCTGAGAGTTTTTTTTTTATACACACATATTTGGATAGAATCACACTTGTAATGCAGTCGTTACTTCAGCAGAAATTAATCTGAATATATTGAAAACGTACCGTCTCGTCGTCTTGTCTTATACATATTATATGATGTGTTTGCCGTGTGTCTTATCATCGCCTTTTGATCTTTTGTACCGGAAACTTTTGCCTATCTCTTTATACAACGAATCCGGGCTTATACGTACTTAATATGAATGTTCACGATTATTTACTTCTACATTTGTGTTTTTAGTTGATCATTAAGCTAATTACACGAAAGATTGAACATTATATAACTTACTATCAATGTTCGTTAGTTTTAGTAGATGTAGGATATTTTTGTAATGACAAATTAAATTTAGGCAAAACACAAGGAGTACCTAATAAGTAAACTACTTAAATTTTAAAAATTATAAATTAAATAATATTAAATTTAGTTTCAACGAACTTAATGAAATAAGTATACATAATAACTCGCCTGACTTAGAATATATAATATATATTAATATATTTTTAATACAATATATATTATATATACTAAAAAAAAAGTTTTTGCCCCCGAAGTATGCAATTTGATTAGCATCGTTCCATTAGATTTATAATTTATAAATTAGTGCAATGTTAGAGTGGTAAATTAACGTAGTAGTTATAATATTAGAAAAGGACTTGCAGATCCATAGAAATGCCAAAATTATTTATTACACAAAAAACAAAGTTTTTAATGAGTTCAAGTATTTATATTGTGCTGTACAAGACTGAAAGGTATTATTTTAATTCTTGTCCAGTGGAGGACGGACATTAAAACTTTCTGATTGGTCTAATTAGCCATTTGTCTCGACGATATGTTTTTTCTAGTATGCTCTTTAGCCCGTTCAAAGTCTTAGATATGCTGGAAAACCGTCACTTACGCTTCCCAGCAAACTTAAAAAAATTGTGTTTATTTTGATAAATAGTGTTGTATGCGTTTCTGGCAAAATTAAAATTAATTTGTAGTGGGACGTGAGATGTTTTGGTGTTTTTGCGGTAGTAGAGCTTCGTGGTCGCGAATACCCGTTGTAGTCTCTTTTTGCGGAAATACCGCGGATTTTTGTTACGCCTAAACCATCCCTTTTCCCCGTCCGGCAAAGGCGCAGACGGCTTTTGTGGTAACCCCACCGTAACCGCGGTTGTCAATATTTGGGGTTTTTTTTTTTTATAATAAATTTTGTGTCCCCCGAGATTCGGCGTGGCTAATCGACGGGACGTTTAGACCGTCGATCGGCTAGTAGTCCGCAGGTACCCTCTCCGACATCCAATTGTGCGTGTAGGTACCCGGTTTGGCGCGTTTCTCTGATCGGCCGGGGCTAAGGGACCGAGGTGAATGGGGAAGGGTCGGTTGATGAGTACCGCGATGGGGGAGGCGACGTGTACAAGATGAAGACAACGAAGATGGGAAAAAAATGAGTCGGCGGTAGTCTTATATATTATTATAGAGCGAAAAAAAAAAAAAGAAATAATAGCGCCGCGAGCATCGCTACGTATATAGGTATATATAATATATATATGTACGCACTCTCTCGGGTCAATACTTGATTTCGAAGGGAGCAGCGGCGGCGGGTCCGACTGTATATACCGAACGCACGCACGCACGCACACGGCAAACCAACGGCTGCCGACCGCTCTGCAACCGCGCGGCAGTGTGTAAAACGGGCCGGTACCGCGAGCACCGTGTTCATCGCGTTCCGTTCGATATCTCTTTCAAAACCAAAAAAAGAGGACTACCGGAAAAGCGCGAGTGTATGTGTTTTTCAATCGTCGGCAATCGAGTATTGTGAGTATAACATGACGTTTTCGGTCGCTGTCGGTCCGACCCGGCGTTGTCACAGGCCGCCGTGTAAGCCGGCGTAATTTATTCGGTGAAATTTGTTTTTTTTTTAAATAATCAAACGAAACCATCGAAATTTCCGCAATTATCGTTCGACGAATCTCGTAATATTATCTATCATATTTACATTTACCTGCGAAAAAACTATTGAAAAAAACTACCGGACTTAGCGAGAAGATGGGACCGATATTCGTACTACTACAGCTGATCCTGATCATCGGTAAGTGTGATTAATCGTAAACGATCCTCCGGGCTATCATTAAAACTGTACAAGTCGTTAAATCCAAAAGACTGGGACGGTTTTTTCAAGAGATTCTTAAATTAATCACGAGTTCAAAATATCATCTTAAACTATTTTGTTGACTCAATCCAATAAGTAATAATATTAGTGCAAATAGACAGAAGTTTGAGAAGCTTAGACGTTCCAAATCGACTTCGAGCTCTAATAAAAAGGCAACCCTAGCGATGTACAAGTAGCCCGCCCAGTGATTTTCTTACTAGAATTTTGTGGAGCTTGAATGATTTACTGTGGGTTTAATCTGCACAAGCTTTCCCCATATGCGCTAATAGAAAAGATTACATTAACTTACCGGCTTTTTAGTAAGTTAATTTTATAACAAATACTATAACTATATTTTTAACGCTTTTATTTAAACCGTTTTAATCTATCCCACTTTTTTAGTATATTACAAAGCGTGGCGCCGCGCCGCCCTGACATAAATTCGGATAATCGATTGGGTTTGAGATTTTCTATTATTTCCATAGATATTCAGTACTTTATAGTTTTTAAAAAAACTACATCTCTCTCTGCCGTTATGTATTCGGCGTCCCCTTTGGTTACTATTAATAATTTTTTTTTTCATCTCAATAAACACTTGACCCAGTCCGTTTACGAATGTTGAATATCGCCCGTCGTGCACGCAATCTATGTATGTGTTGTTATTTAAAAAAAAATTATACATCGGCCCTTGTAGGTGTGCGGGACAAATGCATAGGAATTTCGTCACGGCCACCCTTTACTCGGATACGATCGAGAAAATACCTATAGATCCCGGGCATCTCGCCGGGATACAATCGTGGATTCATGTACAATAATTGAATAATATATGGTAGTCTTGCTTTATGTTTAACAATCACAACGTCCGGGTATCTGACATCAATACCGGAAATAACATTTCGAATGGCTTGTGCGGAGGACTCGACCTTTCGACTACGTTATTAAAACTCAATGTGTTACCTACTAGTTCTGATTGTTTGCGTGCTCCAGGTTACGTAGACCTTAAGTTAGGGTAGTTTATGCGATACGGGCAAGACTATAAGGGACAATCACACGTACACACGCCAGGGCATGTGCTCGAAGGGAATGTCACAATCCTTTTGATATTAAAACGAATATAATAATATTAATATTATTGCTGTCGTGGATAAGGAATACTGCGGCGGCAGTATAAGCCCACAAGGTAAAGTTTTCAGTTTATATCGTTTTTATTGCAGGGTGGTATACTAGTTTTTTTTTTCGCCAACCGAGTTTATTAAAAAAAAAAAAGTCATTCTCTTACAACGATAACAACGACTCCGCTTTCATTTATTATTCAAAACGACCGAGTTCGTTGGTTCGGTTTAACTATCTAGGTCTGTGCCGAAATCACCGAAGATTGTATTATAAAAGTTTTACAAGAAACGAAAACCCTGCGAACTTTTTAAACTTTTTCTCTGAACGCGATAAATAATGGTTATCTAGTATTAGTTGTAATAACAACGTGTCAGCACAGCCTATTCAATTATTTTCTGTAAATTGTTTTTCCTTCGTTATGTAAATACTGGAAGGCATGTCGCAGGAATTGATGTGTTTTTGTTGGGTTCAGCCCAACAAAAAAAACCAAAAACACGATAAAAATGTCATCTACGGCTGTAGTAACAGCGAAAACGTCGGTGTTACTATATATATATATATTGAATAATATATATATTTTTTTTAATTAATGGAAATGGATGACGCTTGTCTAGAGTAGAAAGCTAATCGAAGGGGTGACCGTTAACGTCAGTCGTCTATATGGTCAGTGGAGGATGGCCAATTATTATCCTCTCAACCCTACAATAGGGGAGACTGAAGAGTGTTGTACTTATTGTGTCCCTCGTGCCTTTCTCTAACGTAGTTTGATTTTATGGCCCGAGAGGACTCCGGGGACACAACCATTTGATATTTCGCCCAAGTCATAACTATTACAGCAGCCCAAAGGCTTTCAGTCTCCGGTTTTCTACTTTCGAATTAAGAGTTTATTAATATTTTATACTTCTGATTTTCGATTTCGGTTATTTGATTAGTGATTACTAACCAGTGCTGGGTCAGCAAACAACAGCATGTCTTGGCGGCGGCCGGCGCCCAGAATAGGTTGCGATTACTCGTTGTTGTCTCTTGTATCCGTTGTTTTTTATGTCGGATTCGAAAATAACCAACCGTTGTACTAACTGCTTGTGTACAATTACTTTGATAATTCCTTCCTTATGAGTAAAAACGAGGTATTTTAGCGGTAGATGGCTCGTCTGTGCGTCGTCGTTTCAGATGTTCTCGAACAAATGTTTGAAAATAATTTGTATGGCACTATAAAATAAAATTTCATTCATTATATCGATGTGTAATCACTAATCAGTAATTCAGTAAATTTAGTAACAGAGTTATTTCGATAGACGTTAAAATACGACCGAGTGGTAATCGATTGTTGTGTAATCTTATAACGCTGAAAGCACAAGTGTAAGAATATTCACCAACCCATATCCGGTTTACACTAGAGCACCCAATAATAATTTCAGCCATTGGGTTAACGGCGACGACGCCTTTGGACATCACGTGCGATACAACAACAAACGTTCTATGAATACCAGCTATACAAAGCCGGATTACAATTTCGCTATACTACATGTTTGTGTGTGCGTGTAGGACTTTTTTATTTCATTACTTCCGTGCGCTCATTTTCCTCTGTTAGTTTTACAAATCACGTTCTACAGGAGATGTTGGCGCTGGGAACGACCTCTTTGAAATCCAATTTAAAAATAAATTCCTTGGGTTCGCTCAATTATTATTCGTAGAACCTTGTTCACGGCGTCTATGGGAATCGAGAAAATGTCCAAAGGATAAATTAAATTTCGGTAATAAAAAAAAAAAATAATAATAAAATATTACTATTATTAACGCTAATTAATTTGTAACACATTAAAAAAAAAAATTAATAACAAAATGTTATATTATAGGTAAACTAATTTACAACGATCTTGCCATAAGATTCAAAATACTTTGGTTTTGTATTAAATCCGAATTAGGTGCTTTAATTCTTGTATAACCTCAACAAATTTTATGTAATTTATGAGTGTGTTAAATTACGAGATTTGTTTTTAAGTATATGACAGATCTTTTTCACAAATTGTATAAGTACTAAAAAAAATTGATCAGCAACTGTTGATCACAGGTCCGTTAGACCTCCGAGTCATTTGGAAAATTAAGGTTTCTAGACAGACCACTCCATTCTTGTTCAAATGTAAATGTTGTTTAATGCAAATAATGAGAATAATGCATACACATCATATATAATTATTAAATGTGTGATCTTTTGGAAATATAATCAAAACTTTGTCATTAGTATTAGATTTCCTGTTAAAAACATGAAGTAATAATATTGATGATAGTTTTTATAAAAAAATTATAATTCTCAATGAAATTTAATTAAAATAAATAAAAAATAAATTATTGCTTATTTTTATACATTTTTGACTGTCGTACTTCGTACAAGTGGCTGGTGGCAATTGAAAGAAATTCAAGTGCTCGTGTAACACGCAGGACGTGAAATAGAAACTCGAGTAGTTTTTAAAACGTTCCTTAAACAACACCTACGTACCTATATGTATATATAAATATACATTTAAAATATTGGCCTGTATACTTTACACATGCGCCCTGAGCCCACGTGTGATAATTACCGCAAACCTAATCGGGAAGCTGTTATTAGTTCGTACTTCATAGACGGTTAAAATATATACACTTCTTCCGTTTTGATACGGACGTTGAAGCTCATTTAGAGTGTAACAATAATAATAATAAATAATTAAGTTTAATAATATGTAACTAATGTACATCTACAGTATGGAGTTAAATTGAACATTGTCGCCGTCGCTTGTCGGTAAAATATATTCCCCTTAGGTCCTAGATGTTCTACAACAACAGTATATATGTGGCCAGTATAATGGGTCAAGGTAGGTGCATGCGATGGGGAAATAGAATTTTCGGCTGTCGTGTTTTATATTCTCCGACTTCTACGTTCCTTTGTTTTCTCGAACAAAACCAAATGTGAACGGGCGGCCTAAATGCGACCAGAACGTGTAGACTACTCCCGGAAGACTTCGCAAAAGCATTCATGATATATTACTCATAAGACCACTCAAAGCTTTCCGCAAAGCACGATATTAGTTTACCCTCCAAAATTGTACCGTAGACCTAACAAAAATGTATTTTGCCCAAGACCTTTTCTCAAATTTCTCAAAAGAACCAAAATAATAATTTCCTTTATAACTTTGATGCGAAACTGAAAAGGTATTGTTTTTACAATGACGTGTTTTTATTTTTTCAACAGGTACCAGAAAAATATTTTTTTTTCATCATATTTTAAGTAACAACGGCCAACAAATATTATTGAGACGATCAACTCTAATCGTACCCACCTAATACTAAAAATTTAGTTTGGATGGGAATGTTCGAAGTTGACCAAAATTCGAATTTTAGTCCCAACCATAATTTTAGCATAATACATGAAGTAACATACACAATACTCTTGATACATTCGATCAAATCAAATAATTATTATTTTATCACTTTTAATAGTTACTAATTACATAGGTTTTAAGCTTTAGTAGTTGTGGTCTTTGGTTATTGTTTAGGTACGTTAGTACATATTCCAATCGTTTTACTTTCATTCGTGCGCATTTCATTTCTTTATTGAACAGTTGAGCAGTACACATTTCCCACAATTTATTCGTGATCCCTGTTCAGAGCGTGTATATAAATCCCGAGATGTCATCGTCCAATTTGTAACCAACCGCGCGCCACGCTACCCGGGGGGTAAAATACTGAATTGAACGACAAGTATATAATATACAACAATAATAGACTCTCTTATGCGCACCTTGTTCCCTCATATTTTTATTCGTAAACGTGCGGGGAAAAAAACTTAA